AATCAATCAATCAATCAATCAATCAATCAATCAATCAATCAATCTCTATCCAGGTAGATGATACAATCCCCAGAGAAGTTCATGATGCTGGGAAAGGTGGAAGGAATTAGAAGAGGACAACCAGCAGCAAGGTGGATGGACTCAGTTACAATGGCGATGGGTGCACCATAGGAAGACTTGAAAGACCAGGTAGGGGACAGATCCTCCTGGAGAAAATCTATCTGTGGTTGCTAAGAGTTGACACTGACTTGATGGCACCTAATCGATCAATCAGTCCTTATCTGCCTGTGAATCTAATTCAGCCTTCTTAACCTGGATATCTATACCCGAGATTCTCAGCAGTGGGTCACCCAACCTGGGAAGTTCTAGCAGCTGAGACTCACCCACCTGGAGGGTGTCCAAGTTGGAGAAGGCTTTTTCAACCATTCACTTTCTGGGGAGGCTCTCAAATTATCCAAGGGAAATGTCTTCCTTTGATGAAAGGTTAATTTATTGACTGGGATAAAGAAAATGCCACTGAGGTCTGACCGCTTGCTATTAATTAAGCACTCGTCCCTTGATTTAATCACTCTGAACTTAGCTTGGGTTCACTTTAATTGGAAAGGAACCCAACAAGATGCTTTCAGAGATCCCCAGATGCCCACCTCAGCAGTTTTCCTCTGCGGCAGAAGAGTTTTTTCAAAAGTTATTTGCAACGTGGAGGGGTTTTCCTTTATTCAGAGATTACTCAAGTGGGGAAACATCTCTTTTAGCTACTAATAATTTAGAGGTGAAGAACTGGGGGGTTCTTGTCTATCACCGCGGCGACTTTAAAAGAGCTTCAGCTTGACTAATAGTTAGCAGAGGAGCTTTCCAGGTTTCTTAAACTTATTTCCACTTCTGGCATTCTCTTGCACATGGAGGCTCAATTTAGAATATTGGGGCTTTTATTTGGTGCTAGATCTAACCTTCAGTCTAGAGAAAGAAAGAAAGAAAAAGAAAGAAAGAAAGAAAGAAAGAAAGAAAGAAAGAAAGAAAGAAAGAAAGAAAGAAAGAAAGAGGAGTGTTCATCTACATCACTTCTGGCCATTCATGAAAAATTTCCTAATAAGTGAAGTTTATTAAGAGTTCATCCCAACACCTAGTGACTGTGTGCAGTTTTGGGGCAACAGTACAGAAGTGTTATTTTCTGTAAAATCAGCTTATTTCTGATTTTTTTTTTTTTACTCTCTAGTCCAGCTTACAGTCCAGGGACTTCCTGGTGGTCTCCCATCCTCAACTCATTCTCAGTTCCTACTGATCACTGGACCTGTACATGTAATTTTCTTGGCCACACTATGAAAGTGGTTTGTCATTATTACCTTGAGGTAATGATTTTATATACTTTTTATATTTTATAATATTTATATATTTTATAATATAAAATAATAATTTGATATTTTATATAATAATTGTATAATATAAAATAATTTTATATTGAGGCAATAATAATTTTCAAACTTTCCAAGCTAACCTGCAGCCCTAGGGTTTCATTTTTGGTTTTTAAATAGAAATGGTATTTATTTTAACAAGTTTTACCCCAAAAAACAAAAATGAAAATGGGGGGAAAAACCCAAAGGAGCATATATATATAAACAATAACAGACTACAAGAAAAGGAACAACTCAACTCCATTAAAAAGAAATTATAGGCTATCAATATATATCACACATTCATCAGGTGTTAAAACAATATTTAAATGTTGCTAAATCTATGCTAACGAGAATAAATAATAATATGCTAGCATGATAAAATGTCATGAAACCTATGCCAAAGGAAAATGCATTGTATTTTTTTTATTTGTAGATAAAATCTGCCTTTTCAAAAACAGATAAATTACACATCTCTTGAATCTAGTCCTTAATATCAGGAATACTCAGTTTCTCAAAATAATTCTCTTCGCAACCTCTCAAACGTGACACAACCAGAACTCCTAAAAAGTAGTCAGAATCCAAAGCTTTCGGACATAATTTAACATAACAGGAACCTCTTTTAGCATTACAAGATTTTCCCCGAACTCTATCTATGTCCATTAAAGTATTAGCCCACAAAGGTGTCAATGACTCACAATACACAGAGGAGCCAAGGACCCCCTGAATTTTTTCCTTTGCCAATGAAGAAAATTTGACCGCCATCCTTTTAAATCATTCCTTGGGGTGTGTGGATTTCCTTGTGGTCTCCTATCCAAATGATCATCGGGTGCAACTCGCTTAAATGTTGAGATCAGCCGGGTTTGCCCGGGTGCTGCCCTTTGCTATGACAAAATATATTTCGTGTTACTAGTCCATTGCCTTAGATCAGTGTTGTCCAAACTTGGCCACTTTAAGATGAGTGGACTTCAACTCCCAGAATTCCCCAGCCAGCAT